TAAAGCCCATTGTGTATTAGTAATCGATAATGTAGGGTACTTTCCTTTATGCACATATAGCATATATGCTTTAAACAATTCCAGGAAGATAGTAGTGGCAGTAGTAGTATGACCCATGATACACTGGAGGTGATTCTGTAAACCTTGACATCTAGCTATTTTGTGATTTGTTGATTCTTTGAGAACTGGGGGCATTGTAACCAGGTATTTTACAAGCATTTTTTATAAAGTCTATAGAGTGGGTATAGGTATATTACTTCAGGATGTTGCTACCTGCACACCTATAACAATCCTGTTGTTGCTGCAGAAGGCAGCCCACAGAGCTGTTTTAGAGAAAACAGCTTGGATGGGAGCCTTGGGGTTGACATTACCACAGTAGTTTTTGGTGGATACCAATTAGCAAGGTGGTTTTGGAATTGCACTGCAAAGTGGCTCTTAATTTTCTGGGACATTGACATTCTGACCATTCTCCCCTCAATGGAATGGCCGTGACAAACACTGATCTGCTTAAAAGTAATTGTCTTGGGCATATGAACCAGTGGAGAAGTGATCGTTTTAAAAAAAAATTACTTAGGATTCTTAGGCTTAATAGGGAGAAATCACATTACCTCCTCTCTTGCCTCTCTGACTGTGGTTCTCAGCCTGTGGGGACAGGCACTCACCTTACTATACTGTTCCTGCTCAGCAGGGCTCAGACTCCCAGGATGTACAGCTAATAGAATCCCATGCTGGCTAGCCATTCTTGCTTCATTACCACAGGGACTAATCAGTTATCTTGTTCATATCAGCCAGCCCTGTATCTCCAGTCTTCTCCCCTCTAGGCAGAGTAGAAGAGAGTTTGGCAGGTTTGGAACAAACAGGAAGAGAGAGGTCAAAGACTGTTTTGAGAACTAAGTCGCCAAATCCATCTTTTCTGAAGAGGGTGAAGGAATTTTCAAGCCCTCAGTGGAAATTTATCAGTGATTTTCTTTCAAGATCAGAAGGAAATTTGTAGATCAGTGAAGGTACTCACAGTTGTTGGGAAGATAGCATACACCCACAGTTTACTCCATTTTCTTCAACCCTTTAGTAAAATAATCAGGTGCGTGTTTATGTATCTGAGGGATGAAAAAAAATATTCCCAAGAGCCTTGATGATTTCTTTTTGAAATTTAAAATGCTCTTCAGAAGTGGGAGAACCTCTGAGCATTCTTCCTTCTGCTACTGCTGACTGGCTTTCTTCTCCTTGTCCTTCAGGCCAGGGGTTTCCAGGGTTCCCCCAGGGATTCTCCCTTCTCTTCTGACCCAGGCTATCTAATCAGTGTCTGGCATTCCCTACTTACAGAAGGCTGAAGCTTCTCAAACCCTTATCTTCAACTGATAACCATGTTCCCCCTCCCCCTGTGCTGTATATGCATGGGCATGTCTCACAGGCTCAAGAGGTGTTCTTGACCTTCTTCCCAGCCTTATAACTCCTCCTGAAGTCATTATCCTAGCTTAAAGATTGTACTCGCTCTTTCCTATGGTGTAAGTCAGAGACCCTGGGATTTTTCCAAGACTTGTCCTTCCCCCATCTCTTCAGCCAATTAACAATCTTGCCAATACTGTTAAAGTTCTGAGGTTGCTCTTAGGCTCACATCATCTGCCTCTTGACTAATTAACTGAAAGTACCTTTGTAAAAAGATGTTAAGCTGGGAGGAACTAAGATGCCAACTGGCTCACCCTTGGTCATTTTCTAGAGGAAAGGAAAGAGGTCCAGCAGGGGGAAGTAACTTCATGATCCACAAGGCTCCAACCTGAGGCCTTTGTAGCTTCCTGTGATACAATTCGCTCACCCCAGTGGGTGTGTCTGAATAATGCCTGTGTTCCCCTCACCTGGGATCCCCCATGAGAATAGAAACAGCCAGTCATTGCAGTACTCAGCAGGCAGGTGGCTTAACAAAATCACTGAATGAAGGAATCACACAGTATTTTGATCTTAACTAACCACAGACTTGTTCACCAAAAACATTTCCCCGACTCACACCACCAAAAACATTTCCCTGACTCACTTGTCTAAAGACTTGAGTTCCCAGAAAACAGCGACCTAATCTGCCTTACCTGCATGTGATGGTGCACATGGATTAATAAAGCAAAGAGCCACTAAATAAAAGCCTTCTTATTGGCGAGGTTATTTATTAGCCAACAATAAATAGCCCTCTGAAAGAGAATTTTGTGATTCTTTGAATTTTTCGTCGATCACAGCATTTGACTGTTACACAAAGAAAGTCGAATCTAGAATTTAGCGAGAGGGAACCGAGTCCCAGGTCCTGCTTACCTAGTGAACTTGTTATAGGGCACCTCAATTCAGAGAGAGGCACCCCTGAAGCCCCAAAACCTGCCTGCTCTAAGTGGGTTCTGCCATCCGCCGCAACAAGACAAAATATATAAAGCTTTAATGAAAAGTGACTTTAATACAGTGAATATACAATATGGAACACAAAGAATATAACTTCTAAATCAAACACCTGAAGTTACCCATCCCCTCGTGGGCAAAAGTCAACCCAAAAGGGATTGGCCCAAAGCAAGGCCTGAAAGCCCGCCACAAGACTAAAGCACCTTCTGGCCGGGACCCATGGAAAAGGGTCAGAAATGGCCAGACAAATCTGGGAGGAAAAGAGCAAAATCAAAATCAATATAAACACTGCCATGGTCACCTCCCTACAGGTATCTCACCCACATCTGCCTTAACCAGTCCAGGGTCAGGAAACAAGCCCGGTTTCTTCATCACATGCTTGCTGCTCCATGTGGCTTCCTTAGGTCTCCTTCTCCATCTGCCTTCCCTCTCTTCTTCTCTCTCCTTTTTCTCTGCTCAGTTCCACCCTCCTTCTGGGTGGGGCAGGGAACCTGGAACTTCCCTTCTCCTAGGGACCACCCAGTTACAAACTGTGTTGCTGACCTCTAATAAGTCATAACCTTTCTGTGCTTCATTTTTCTCATCTGGATCTTCTTCAGATTGTGAAGCACTAAATGAACATAGTGGCAGCTACCAGCATTGTACAGTGTTCTAAGCTATAATTTCTCTGGCTTGGCAGAGGAAGTTTTCAAAATGGAAACAACCAGCGTGCACCATTGCGTTAAAGAACTACAAAATGTTTGGTTGGAGCCAGGGGAAGAGTTGAGGATGCAGCAAATAAAGAAGCAGCCACTAAAAACCTTGTACTCCATGGAAAGGAATCTGGACATTCTCCTGTCCGATACTAGGGATTCGGGCAATGAGGTTTTGTGATCTTACTTGCATTTTAGAGAGGGTGCTATGACAGTAAGTGCTGTGGGGAACAAAGCGTCAAGGAGTGGGCTGCAAACAAATGCGTAGGAAATGGGACAAGTCTGTGGCTAGTTGAGATCTAAATACTGTGTGATTCCTTCATTCAGTGATTTTGTTGAGCCACCTGCCTGCAGGGCACTGCAATGACTAGTTCCTGTTCTCATGGGGTTCCCAGATGAGGGGAACACAGGCCTTACTCAGACACACCCACTGGGGTGAGTTGTTACAACACGGGGAGTTACTTCCCCCTGCTGGACCTCTTTCTTTTCCTCTATAAGATGACCCAAGGTTGAGCCAGTTGGCTTCTTTATTTCTTTCCCTTCCTTTGACAAAGGCATTTTCAGTGAGTCAAGAGTCAGCAGAAAGTATCATTCTTTTGTGTGAACTGGTTATTGAGCAATAACTCCTAAAGTTACATTTATTACCTCTGTGCAGAGTTCAGGTTCAAATTGTTCAATACTGACTGCCTTGGTCTACTGAGAAAAGCATACTCTTTCTTTATCGTAACAATGCTTGGCATTTTAATGGACCCTCTTGCCATCTTTATGTTTACTCTGACATTTGAGGGATTGGAACCTCTTTGTTTGGTGACCTTAAAATTCATCAACCCCTTGGCCCTCCCTGGTGGCACAGCGGGTTAAAGCACAGCACTAAGAAGCTCAAGCCACTTCCTCATGAGTTCGATTCCCGCCTGCCCTGGAGGTGACCACATGGCGTGGCAGACCTCTCCTGACCCGCCCGCTGCTCCCCTCAGCAGTGTATGTACTTCATGGATCTGCCTGTTCTGCTCCCCACTCTGTCTCTGGTGAATCCTCTCACATTCTGCATCTCTGGCCTATACCCCAATTCTGTATGAATAAATAAATAAAAAAAAATTCATCAACCCCTTTGTTCCCATACTTGTATTTTATATGTAGAATGGAGATAATAATCCAAAAATCCCTTAATAAGACCACAGATGTACTGATTCAGCAAGGAAGCAAGCATTTGTTGAGTATCTGCTGTGTGCACAGCTCTTCCAGGATGTAGTGCAGGCATAAGTAAGAAGTGCTCTCTGCTCTGAAGGAATTGATGATTCAGTGGTAGGAAACAAAGGGTAAACATATCTGTGCACAAAACCATTATAGTTGCCATGGAAGAACTTACATAGGGTTGGAGGTACAAATAAAAGAGTGCTGCCCACAGAGGGGAGCCAAGGAACAGGTGGAATAGTGAAAAGAACATCGAGGCTTAGAGTCGAAAGACCTAGGTTTTCAGAATCTCAGTTTTTTATTCATTTGCGTGTGACCTTTGACATCTTTGAACTGAGTTATCTTCATCAACAGAAAGGAAATAATGCCTCATTCCATGGTCAGAGTGTGTGCATAATAAAGTTCTGTCTGAACACTAGGGGCAAAGCCAGGTTCCAGAATGAAGTGAGTATTAGGCTACTTCTAATTGGTGATGCAGGGAGACATTTTCTTTGATGCTAGATCTCAGATTAAACCAAGACCTGCAACCTTTCCAGCTTAGTCTGCCAGCTTGGCAGCTGCTATTGTCCTGAGGATGTCTACACACCTCTGAAGCACAATGGCAGCTGTGAGAGGAGCAGGCCTCACCACAGCTCTGACACTGGTGTGGACTGACTGTTTCTACACACCTGTGCCCTTGGGAGTGGAAACACCACTCGAGGTGTGTCTCAACTCTGACCTTTCCCCCTTTCTCCCTTGCAGCAAATTTTATCATGTGGGCAACCTGCTGCAACTGGTTTTGCCTGGATGGACAGCCTGAGGAGGCCCCACTGCCCCAGGGAGCCAGGACACAAGCCTATTCCAACCCTGGGTACAGCTCTTTCCCTTCTCCACCAGGCTCAGAACCAAGCTGCAAGGCCTGTGGAGCCCACTTTGTAAACATGGCCAGGAAGGTGAGTGTTGCCTATTTTGGTGCTCCAGCCTCAGGCTCTCAGGTAAGCCTGCTGACTCCATCTCTGACTCCTGCCAGGCTGCCTTTGCTGAGCAGTGCTGATTACTCAGACTTGTCAGGAAAGTATAGAAGAAGAGCTTAGAAGGATAAGCAAAGCCCAGAACCTCAGCCTCAATTTGGAGCTAAGGAGGCCTGAATTCAGGTGGCAGCTTTTCCACTCATTGTGTGATTTGACCTCTTGAGATTCAGTTTCCCCATCTCTAGAATCATTATACCCATTTCACAGTGTTGCGAGACTAAAATAAGCAATGGAGGGTGCCCAGCATGTCGCTTGGGTAACAGCAGGCACACAGTGTTAGTTCCTTTATTGACACCATAAAAGGCCTGACTGCAGGTTAATTTGTTCTTTTGTCAAAGGTGATGTCAGGTATGCCTCTGTATTGGAGCCCATTTGCAGTAGCAGATTGCACTCAAGGGCTGGCCCGCCTTGCTTTCCACATTATTGAGGCAGCTGTGGAATGATCCTTTGGGAATGGTGTGAGGGTCAGTGCCCAGGAGTGGCGTATTCTCTGTGGTCAGGATTGACGGGCTGCAGGTAAACCCTGAACTAGAGAAAGGATCCCTGCATTCTGCATTCTTCTGCAGAACGAGAGGCTTGCAGGCCAGAATGTGATGTTAAAGTAGTGATAATGGGAAATTTGAAAGAAAAAAAATACACTTTTTTAAAACTTCTATTATATATCAGGGACAGTTTAAAGCATTAACTCCAATGTAGTAACTCTGTGACATTGGTTTTCAGTCCCTAGATTTCCATTTTACACACGAGAAACTGAGACTTAGAGTTAACGTGAAAAGGGAATAACTCTTTGTGTCAAGTTCCTGATAAACAGCTTGAGAGACATTGAAGCTACTCATCCTTACCCTTCTACTTAGGTAGTGCCCCAGCATCACAGTCATTAAATGGCAGCTCCAGTTTTCAAATGCAGTTCTGAGGCCCAAAGCTATTTCCCAGAAGACATTCAACACATTAGAATTTCTGCAGCTTGAGGTGCTGACCACCCACCCACTCTGTGTACCAGGAAGGTGCTGGTCCCTTCCAGCACCTAAACATTTTGTCTGTGGGTGGCATCACCATAGTGCAGTGAAGGTGAGTACATTGCTGTGATTTGCCTGGCTGCCTAGTCACTGTGAGAACTCAACCAGAGTGGTGGCAGGTGGCCCAGGGTCTGTGGCTATGTGAGCAGAAGCGACCCTGTAAAACACGGAGTCAGTAGCTCGAGCCTGAAGTAAAGAGTAGAAGGCACCTCGTAGACACTCAGTCTTCTCACTGAGGTAGCTAGGTGGGGTGTAGTTTCAGATGGAGGTGAAATTGGGTTGTACTGGGCACTGAGCGTAGCATTTCAAATGCATGGCCTTATTGAATCTTACAACAGTCTGTGAAATACGAACTGTTACTTATAAACATTTCATAAAGAAAGTAAGTGTTCTGTTTAACTAGTATTTTCAGGGCCTCCTTAGGTATATTGAGAGTTTGTTAGGTGGCCAAGGGCTGGCTGTTTTTCATTACTTTATTCTGTGAGAAATTCTAGGAACAGTTGCGGGTTAAAGTGGCAAAGTCTGTTATCAAAAAAGGAATATGAAAGACCCTTGTTTAAATGGGGAGGTGAATTTGCAGTAGGTTATTTACACCTATTTTCTTTATATGGTTATCACCACATGATATGAACATGTTTGTAGATTACCCATCTTCTCAGATGGAATGTTGAATTAGTGATTTTGTCAGTTTTGCTTACAACTTTGTCCCTAGCGCATAGAATAGTGACTGATACATAGTAAGTGCAGCACAACTTTTTGAGTAGCCTTATTGGACAGCTTCTCTTTTCATGATTTTATAGCTGACCATTCTGTGCTGCTGGTTTTAATTAATGGCCCATTTCTATCATGCACTGGCTGCGAGAGGTGATAACTCTGTGTGACAGAGCTAAGACTTAGCTCTTTCCCTCAGAAAACTTACCAGCTGGGGAGTAAACTTTTTTTTTTTTTTTTATAAGTGGGGAGATTCCACTTAGGAAGATTCAGGTGCTGGCATTTGGAGGTGTTAGGTGATAATTCTTGCTGGATGAAGCAAAGCTTCATATGGGGTGCATTTGTGAACTGTATGACCAGAGTGCAGGGCACTTGAGAAATTACAGTCAGGTTGGGGTGAGGCGGTGATGGACATTAACTGCCATGGTAAAGAGTTGTGTCCTCCACACCACAAGGAACCTTCAGGAAGATTGGGAACAAAAATAGGCATGATTGTTCTCTTTCAGGTCGTGGATTCAGCTGCAGCAGGAGGGATGTTGGGTAGTATGGTAGGAATAGCATCTTGGAAGCCTGTGTGCAGCTGGTGAGTTCTCCATACCCAGCCTAGGGTGGGGGCTGACTAAAGCCTGTAGCTACCGCTTAGTAAGCAGCCATTGGTGCCAGCTTCTGTGTGAAGTATTTGTTCACCCATTTTACAAATGAAAAATCCAAAACTCAGACACTAAAGTGCTGAGCTATGAAGATAAAAGGACCTACAGCAGTGAAAACAGGTGAAATGCAGGAGGAGGTCAAGTGAAGATGACGGGATCGCCTTCTGGATGCCTAGGAGCAGGGCAGTGGTTTAAAGTAAGGAACTTCCCTCTGTGCCTCGGAAAATAAATTAATTGTATAGATACTGTATGTCCGGTGTTGCCTGGGCTAAGGAGATGGCGATGAAGGAAGGCATGGAGCTTGCAGATGGGGCAAATCTGCAGGAGTACGGAGATTAAAAGTCTTTCTTAACAAGAAGCACTCTTCGTGTGAGAGGGGAGTTCCAATTTCGATGGAAAGGTGGTCATTGTGATACTGTTTTCTTGCCAGAAGTGTGTGAATTAATTCCGTGCAATTCACAGTGAATTTTGTGAATGTTAAGCAATGTTTTCTCCTATGAGAATTTTTCATTTGTAATTTCATGCTTAAGTGGATCAACGTTATCTTAAGGGCTTGGCATTTAACAGCCACAAGCTTTTAAAATGTCTTTTTCTAGAAATGTTTGAATTGAAATGATTACATGGATTCTGCTGTCCTTTTTTCTTTGCTTCATTGTTCATTGTGGTCAGTATTTTGCAGTGCTCACTGGGTACAGGACAAAGATAGCATTAAAGACATTACAGAGAGAACATCATCTGCCGCCTTGGAGTTTCTGGTCTTGGAGAGAAATGGCAGGCTGTAATTTTACCACAAACTCAGTATCCATCTGTACTGGTAACACCTACATATGGTTCAGCAGCAGCCCTGACAGGTTTGGAGGCAGTTTGGGCCTGCTTTAGCTGCACCAGCTTGAGGAAACATGCTGGAAACATGGAAGAGACACCCAGATCTAGGAGTGGAGCTGTCCTGGCGCCCTAGCGAAAGCTCCGAGAGGCAGAGGTGGGGACAGATAGAAGGTGACCGGTGCCTTTTCTTGCGTGCCCCCCTGTGATCTCATTGGACTCTTACAGCAGTCCTCAAGAGGCCGACCTTCAGCTGTGTAGGATCTGAGAGGTTATGTTTTACGAAAGTTCCCTTATGAAAGGGGCTGGCTGGATTTACTCAGACTGCCCTTTTTTCACCCAGTGGGCTGCAGGAAGGAATGCCTGGTAGGGTGAGAAAGTGAGCCTGGCCTGAGTTAGGAAATACAGGTAAAGAGGCACAGTTAGAAGGGAAGGAAAGGGGAACAACACAGTCAGGCACCCCAAAGGCAGGGCCTTTTCAGGCTTTTGATGCTGCCAGGGCAGTTCTGGTATTTCCCAGACACATGGGCTCAACCAGTTCAGCTTTCATGCTACCTTGTCACTCAGTCTGTTTGCAGCCTTTGCTGGGTTTATACACAGGTATTTCCTTTGTTCATTCAGAATATGTTTGTTGACAGCTGTTTCCCCCTTCCTTTTTTCCTTTCTTCTTTCCTGCCTATGCAAGCTGGGATTTTAGCCTGGAGCACTATCTTGTGCTTTTGGGGTGTGCTTCAGATGCGGGCTTACTTCAGAGTTCCTGGTGAGCCGGGTGGGAGAAGCTGGGTTGCTGCCTTTACATTCTGATCTTCATCCACTAAGCCACACACATTTGAAGAAAGAATAGAGGGTTGTTTAAATCTGACTGATTGAGCAACTTAGGCATTTTAATTGTGTCAAGCTATGTCTTTTCAGACTGCAGTGACTGAAGCAGTATTCCATGTCAGGGCCTACAGCTTTATGGTACCAAAACCTATTCATTTCACTATCATTCATCCTAAAATAGAAAAGCTTTAGATATGAATGAGCCCCCAGTACCCCGTTAGCATCCATTTTCCAACTGGGTGGCTGCTAATCCCAGAACCGTTTCATTCAGTGCAGCATTGCATCCTTTTAAGTTTAGTCTGTGAACATTTTATTGTGTGGTTATAACTGTATAGAGAATGAGAAGGTGTGATATATGTTCTTTTGCAATGCCTTCTCAGTATTATTGGGCAAAACTGGACTGTAAACATTCTGTCCATTTTCCTGTACCACACAAGTGACAGAGAGAAACTCAGTAGAACTCTCAGCCATGCAGACTAACACCTCCACCTCACACCAGAGTGCTTGTGAGCCCCACTGTGGGCATACAAGCCTTGGGCGTGCTCTTTAGCTTGCATAGCTCTCTATACTTACAAAGAGGGAGCAGAAATTCATTATGTCTAAAGCTCCATGGGCTGAAAGTTTCTTTTTACAAGATTAGTGAGTGTGCCCTCCAGGATCATCCCAGCATGCCCAGGAGTTACCTCTCCTGTGGGAAGGCGACCCGTCTGGGCCAGAGCAGCCCCCAAAAAGATGTCACTGCTCACTCAGCTTATGGGGCAAGGGATTGGCTTCCTGTAAGTTGAGCAAGGCTTGCAGTGTTGTGTTGTCTGCGATTGTGGGAGTAGTTACTGCCAGGCGGTACCAGCTTGCCTGCCAGGCGCGCTTGTCACCCATCTGAGACACTTTGTACTTTACAAATGAGAATTCACTAAGCATGTCCAGAGGGTTTCCTGGAGCTGTCTAAATATTTGTCTTGGATATGCTCTTCTGCACCAGTGAATTCCCTTCCTGAGGAACCTGGACACTAGCTCCTGAGGATTGGGTGCTGGCTCAGGAGTTTGCAGGTGGAAAACCAAGCCTTCGACTCACTAGCACTGCGGCATTGCAGGGGCTGTTAGGCAGCATGACCCAGGGAAGAGCTCGATTGTGAGCACTGACCTCCTGCAGACCTTAGCGTACATCCCGGGCCTGCCCTTGATCAACCTCCCTAGGCCTCTGGTGCTTTGCGAGACAGGGAAAAGTACTTGAATACTTAATGTGAGGGATTTCTTTGAGAATTCATTGATTGGGAAGCTGAGTATAGCTCTACCTAGAGGAGTGCCTCAGGAAATTTAATTGATAATATTAATTGACTACCACCATCACCCTGGTAACCTTTATGCATTTCTTGGCTCAGCAAAGAAGCATAAAGAATCATAGGTTAGATTTGAGTCCTGGCTGTCATAATTAGGTTGTTTTTCCTAGCAGCAGTAATAAAACACTTAAACATTTATGTAAGTGTATTGTCTCTTATCTTTACAGCTATCCAATGAGTGAAATACTTTTATCACCCCTGTTTTACAGATGAGGAAACTGAGGACCAGAGAAACTAAGTTACTTAGCCAAGGTGATACCAAGGAAATATAAGGGGGAGACTTGATAAAAATGCAGTACTTTTGACTATAAAGCTGATGATACTCTTAATTCCAGCATTCATTTTTCTGTCACATGAATAGAATAATCCTCCAGTAGAAAAGTAAATGTAGTGTCCTGTACATGAATACTCAACTCAGGTTCCTCCTCAGAATGTGCCAATACCACAGAGGCCTCCGTAGGTTTGGCAGCCGACAGCTCCCATCCCACTCTGTCTTGTTCTTGCAATCTGACATGGTGTCCTCTGCCTCTTGGTCCAAGCAGCAGACCTGCCTGGACTGTAAGAAAAATTTCTGCATGATCTGTTCGAACCAAGTGGGGAATGGGCCCCGCCTCTGCCTTCTCTGCCAACGATTCCGAGCCACAGCCTTTCAGCGAGAGGAGCTCATGAAGATGAAGGTGAAGGACCTGCGGGACTATCTGAGCCTCCATGACATCTCTACAGACATGTGCCGGGAAAAAGAAGAGTTGGTGCTCTTGGTGCTTGGCCAGCAGCCTGTCACCTCCCACGAGGGCAGGACTCGTGCCTCCACCTTGTCCCCGGACTTCCCAGAACAGCAGGCCTTCCTGACGCAGCCGCACACCAGCACAGCGCCTCCTACCTCACCCAACCTCCCCTCCTCACCGGCACAGGCCACCTCTGGCCCCCAGGCCCGGGCTCAGGAGAATCAGCAGGTATGGCCCTTTGCAGTCCGCCAGCTTGAGGGCTCACTTCCTCTCGTCTGCCTGGTGAGAATAGAGTGTGAGGTTAAGTGTCTTGACTGTATGAGGTCTTTCCTCCACTGATGATGAATGAGTGGTGTTTTCAGGACATCGGACTTAAGTTTTCTCTTTTTTCAGATGATAGTACATTGTATGGCGTATGGCGGCGTGTGGAGGGAGCAAGGGGTGTGTGTGTGTGTGTGTGTGTGTGTGTGTGTGTGTGTAGACAAAATACAAATACAGTCCAGTTAGACATTTCAAAAAAAAAATCTGTTTGAGAAATATTTCAAAAGAATTCTCATCATTAGCTTTCCAAATTTAGTTCTGTTCAAATTGCCCTCCAACTTACCTTCGTTGTGGCCTACCATAGCTGAATGAGCAACTCGGGTTCCCTAGTTATCCTCATAGAAAGAGGAAGAAACCTGGAGCTGGAGGGTGAAGGGCAAGTGGAGGGTCGCTGTGATGAAGACACAGGCTGCAGCTTTGCCCTCACTGGGCAGGCAGCCATGGTTCTGTGTTGACAGGGAGCTGCCCTCACCTCCAGGATGGCCTGCCGATGGCAAAACCTGAAGATGTACCTGAGAGCAGGACTTTCTGTCCTTAGAAAGTCCCTTCAAGAGGAAAGGTAGGAATGCAAACCACTGTTGGATTAGAGCACAGCCAGGCGTCTGGCCTAGCCGGCGGCATCTCACGCACACACAGGGCCTTAGTGGCCCTGTTTGATGGCTTGGCGACCCAGAGATACACTTCCCAGACAGTTTGTCACTGGCTCCTTGGTCACATTGGGCAGACTTTGAGCCCTCTGTGATAGGTGGGATTAGTCCTCCCACCACTTTTCCTCTTGCCAGGGTGTTAGGACGGTCGGCTGGAGGGATATCCCATGTAATGAGCTCTGAGCTGCTTGTGGCCAGCACAGCACTCGTGTTGTCAGTCTGTAGCAGGATGTGATGGCCGCTGCCACTTGTTTATGATCACTTCCTGGGCCGGGACTGACACCCTCCTCCCCCCCCCCCCCTTCAGCTCCTGAAAGGCACTAGGGCATAAAGGCCAGTGTGCTGGTGTAATTTACCTGCTGTAAACTCACTTAGCTCCCTGTTGACATGTCTTCTCCCCAGCTGGCCTTTAACTCTTTCCTAGGCTCTCTTACTCTGCCAGGTATGCTTTACGTCCATCATGGCTTCTCTTGACTTGGTTCTTTTTCAATGCACCTCACTGATCATGAGCTAGGAGAGGAACTTGGAAATTTCTTTTTTTTCCCTGAAGAACTCTGGTGAGTTTTTTAGTGAAAGGAGGAAGTTACAAACTATTGATCAATAAGTTTTATACTGTACCTACAGTTCACAACCTGTACCAGCTTACATTATATACTTTTCCTCTGATGCTCTCAGAGGGTCTTCATGTCAGCTCACATCCGCTGTTCTGATGAGACCTGTGTTTTTCAAGGCAGAGAAACTGGCGTGAGGAAGTGAAGTACCTTGTGTAAGGCTCCCTGAAATTCCACTTGTGCGCTACACCTAGAATGCATGCAGGTCTCGGTGCTTGTTCTCCCAGGCACTTTCCTTTATCTTTAGTGCCCTAACAACAGTTGCAAGGGAAGCAAATGTGTGGAATAAGCAAAAGTAGAAAGAATTTGTTGAGTTTCCTTTAACCAAGTAGACAAACTGAAGAGAAAATATTTTGTAGCTTGAGGAAAACGGATATACAAAAGTTGTCTGAGGAACAGGTTAGGTGCTGAAAATCTTTTTGTGACTCCAAGATAATACTGTTCTGGAGACCAGAGGGTACCAGCTTACAAAAAGCTAAGAGAAAACTAGAGGTGTTGGTGAAGATGCCGTGTTAGGCACTGCAGCTCCAGACAGGTGAGCCGTGCATATGGACTTGCCATCTGAAACATCACTGGGTGTGGTGATGGTGGTGATTTCTGCTTTTCTTTTCTTTTTTAATTCCTTTTTCAATTTTTTATATATCTATTTACACTATTGTTCATTTTTATATATTTCTGCTTTTCTGTGGTAGCTGCTGGCCTCTTAGTTCCATAATCTTGGGTGACTGGTTTCCCGTCCCTCTACTGGTACCTGGGAACTCTAGAGGAAAAGGCCCTGACTTTACCCAGGCCCTTTGGAAGGAGCAGTGGGTGGAGGAGCCTGGTTAAGGGGTTTGGACTTAATAGGTGATGGAATTAGGAGGCTCACAGTTGTAACTAACTCTTCTTTGGCAAAACTTGAGGAGTACCTAAGGTGAATCTTTTGAGAATGAGAATCCTAAGCATAATGAAGCCCCTTAAGCACAGTCATTTGTCTTCTGTAGTCTTAGGCTAATAAATTCTTAGATGCATTAAAATAATTTTTGACTAGATTTCAAGACAGCTTTTCGTATAATGCACCCCTGTGGTTGAATCCCACTTCTAGGGTCTGTGGACAGTAACTGGCCAAAAGAGAGGAAATGGAGTCGTGAGGGTCTGAGGAAATCAGGGAGATGCAGTGTGGAGAAGGGAAGGCACAATAAGAAAGTTTGCAAAGCAACTGTGGACTGAGGGGTAAGAGCAGGGGTGATGGGTGGATGTTACAAGGACAGCTTTGGTCGTTGTCAAGAAAAAAACTTGAAGAAGGCAAAAAGCAGGCCTGCAGTGGAGCGGACATGTGATTTTTTTTCACTTGGAGTGTTCAAGCTGAGACTAAGTTGACAGTGTGTGGCTAATGCCAGTCTGATGGTGGACGGAATTAATGCATTCTTGCTGGAGTTGAAATCCATTTATGTGTTTCTCTTCCTGATGAAGTCAGTAATAAAGCACAGGTACTTGTAATGCTGTTGTGTGAGGCTTCAAATCTCTGGGGGAGATGGGAAGGTGTTTTGGATGTGGTGTGTTCTGGGAAAAGGCCGCGCCATGCAAAGCCTGGGACGTCTCTGTGGATGTGATGGCACCTTTCTCTTTCCGCAGGCCAATGGCCATGTGTCTCAGGACCAAGAGGAACCCGTCTACTTGGAGAGCACGGCCAGAGCACCTGCTGAGGATGAGACCCAGGTGGGGCCTCTGCTCAGGTCTGCTTTTGCCTTTGCCCTTTCACTGGTGTTCTTAGGCTGTTATTAGGAACAGCTCAGCAGACTCAGAAGTGAGAGAGATTGGTCTGTGATGGTCTCAGGATGCTGTTTTCAAGCCGTTTCAGCTCAATTTTGATTCCGGCCAGGGAGGTGACTCACATGACACAGCAGACCTCTTCTGTCTCACCTGCTGCTTCCCTCAGCAGTGTACTTCATCGGTCTGCCTGTTCTGCTTCCCACTCTGTCTCTGGTGACTCCTTTCACCACTTCTGCACCTCTGGCCTATACCCCAGTTCTATCATAAATAAATAAATCTTTTTTAAAAAGATGCTGTGTTTAGGGGTGGAATTTAGTGTTAAATGTTCCAAATTGACCTTCAAAGGTGCCAGGGCGTCAGTGAGCAGCTGTGAGCTCACAGTGAGACCAGGGCCCTCCCTATGCTATTATGTTTCCCATCTTTTGGTTTTCTAAGAGCTGCCAGAAGGTAGATTCTTAGTGCTGCTGTGCAAATCTTGTCCTTTTCTTCTGCTTCTAGCACACAGTAACCACTGTTAGGGGAAGGAGATCAGTCAGTCAGGAGAAAGGATGAGAGGGAGTTCAGGCCTCAGCCATCTGGGCCACAGAGATAGGGTCAAGGTTGCTTACCAGGGACGTCTGCTTCTTCCACAGGAAAGCAGAACTTTCTAGAGAGAGGCCAGCTTCATGCTAGTGGTTTCTTGTGCTGCCACGTTTAATCTCCATAGGATTCTGTGCAACCTGTGGTGGTATTGCTCTCTCCTCTGTGGAGGGGCAGATGGGGCTCAGAGGTAAGCCGTTTGCCTGGTGTCATTCAGCATTAATTAGTAGAAGAGTCAGGATTCAAAATGAATCCGGGCCCTGGGGCCCGGACTGGTGCATCTGCTACTCTGTTGTACTGATAGATTGTTTTTTGTAACTGGCTGTGCCTGGGCACAGAACTGTGAGTGAGGAAGAGACTGCTTTGCAGAGCACCATGCTTGGTGTTCTTCTGCCTCCATGCCCACTCTTGAGGCCAGTCACTAAAAGTGTATGGTGTGAAGAGAGTTCTGGAGTCCTGGGAGTGAGCGCATGAGGGCAGGGAAGCAACTGAGCCCACCGATCTCATCTCTGTTTTTGCAGTCTCTCGACTCAGAGGATAGCTTCGTCCCGGGCCGGAGGGCCTCTCTGTCTGACCTGACTGACCTAGAGGACATTGAAGGCCTGACTGTGCGGCAGCTGAAGGAGATTCTGGCTCGCAATTTCGTCAACTACAAGGGCTGCTGTGAGAAGTGGGAGCTGATGGAGCGGGTGACGCGGCTGTACAAAGATCAGAAAGGACTCCAGCACCTGGGTGAGGGGCTCTCTGGGGGCTGACTGCATAGAATTCTGGAGTGGTTGCTGGCACCCTAAAGGCATCGGCCCGATTAGATGCTTGTGCTTTTAGCTGACTGGAGTTCCCTTACTTATTGCACCATCTCCTGAGAGCTGCCATTTCAGGTGGAGTGCCAGGGCTGGTGGCAACCTATGAAATAAATATTATGAGCATCCCCTTGTGTGTTGAGCCAAGATAGAACTGAGATTTTCCTGGTCTAAGTCCATGGTCTTTTCCCATCACACATCATTCCCGCCTTACTAGTACCTACCATGATACTTCGACCTGTAGCAAACCTTGGCTTCCTAGATGATGAGAAATTATCTGTTCTGCCTGCTCTTGTTTGTTTCCCAAAGCATTCTATAGGCTGTTATTTTCAGGCAAGGCCCAGCATTGCTTTGATAATCTAGGTTTATGGTCAAATGAGTTCAGGAAAAAATAATTTATATTATATCCTGTTAACTAATATATGGTCAGTATTATAGGAAAGGCAGAGAAATCTTGCAGAAGAAAAACGTGTTTAACTGTTTTGAATTCAGCACTTGTAGAAATGATTTTACCCAGAACCTTTTCTCTTTTCTCCCATATAAAATGATTTGGCTCCTACAGGTGAACATTTTGATTTCCTTCATTATAACAACAGGTATGGTCAGGTTTCAAGTTCCCCAATAGCCCAGGTCCCTCCATTAGAATACATGTGACTAGTCACCTGATCACACTCACTCTTCCCTTTGGACTGAACTGCCTAGAGTTGTGAGGACCTGGGGAGCAGAGGAGCTGGCTCCACCTGGGAATTTTATGTAGACTTTCCTTCTGACAGGAAGTGTGTTCTTGACTCTAGCACCAGCTTCAAGTACTTAGGCCACCTCCTTCCTCCCTGGCAGTTCTGGTCATGTGAACTGGTAATAACACTGGCCACTGGTGTGGGTGCTGAACCCAGAAGTAAGGCTTAGAGAGTAAGGAACAGGAAGTCAGTTGGGTGGTTGGGCCCATGATCAGCCTAGTTCCCACGATGATGGGGTTCCCTAAGTGACACAGGTAGTCAGAGACTTCATCATGTCATGACTTCCTCAGATATCTTTTTTTTTTTTTTTTCCAGTGTGTGGTGCTGAAGACCAAAATGGTACGTAGCTGTGTTTGAGGATAAGCTTAGGCTCTTAGCCTTCTCTCCTGTTCCTCTTCCCGCCCTGACTCCAGTCCATAGTAAGACTTGTGAGTAGATGGCTGTCCTGAGAGAGGGCATGGGACCATTCACCAAGCAACAGGGCTTCTCAGCATCTCTAGAAATTCTTGTTCTCCCTTCCTGTGAAGGAAGACATATCCTCCTACCTAGGGGCAGACCAAAGGACCCATCTCCGGGCCAGAGCTCAGCAGCCTATGTTTGTTAAATACTTAGCAATGCAAATATTTGACACCTGCCATGCTAGCATCTATTACAACCCTGGCACTTGGTTCATATTTTAACACTTCTGATGGGAAGGTACCCTTCCAGTCAGTCCTCACTCAGCTCTGCTCCAGATGGACAAGGCCTGTGTGTACATCTTTAGCAAAATGCATTGGGGTATTTAAAGATGCTGATACTGACCAAGATGGCCCGAGATTCTATACAGGGTGGCCAACTATTGCGCACCTCTGGGGGCAGGTCAGAAAAGTGTCAGCTCTGGTGCTCTCTGGCCAGAAGGTCTGTTTCTCACCTCGTGTTAGGTCACTGGGCCTTCTGGTGCTCTCAGATAGCACACAGCACTCTAGCAGCATCTGCTCAAGGCTACATGCTTGTGAGTCCCTCCCCAAGAAAATGTTCTCAGCATAGTGCAGGGGCCTGCAGGGTATTTTAGAACTTCTTTAGATGATTCCCATAATTAGTTATTAAGTAAAATGGTCTATTGCCCACAGTGGGGCCATCATTCTTGCTGGCATTCTCAAGAGGTGAGTCCTTGGTTCCCCTAAACCATTTGGAGTTTTGGATCCAACCAGTCACCTGATTGCAAAATCAGGCTCATCTACTTGGTGTCTCCTTTATTTTTTTCCTGAAGGTATTTGTGTGGTTTAATCTTTCACTGTTAGGGCCCCCAGATCCTCATGGGGTAAATAAGTGGCTTTAGTGCCTCTTACAGCCAGACCACCAAGTGTTTCTTGAACTTTTGAATAGTCCAGAAGCTGAAAATGTGCAGATGCCACAGAGTACAAGAGTTCCCTGTGGAGTGGCAGAGGGGAGTGGTGCAAGGCTGCCTGCGCACTTCACACTACCACTTAGGCAGGGCACGCTGGGGATACTGGGGTTTTGGACATGAGACTTAATTCTGTTTCTACACCTAAAATAGGAAAATATGGTAAGGGTGTTTTACCACTTACAGGGCGGTTAGCAGTGACTGAGAACTAGCTGTGCACTGAGCAGTTATTATTGGCCCTCAGAAGGCCCACCTACCTGGGTTTGAGTCTGTTCCTGTACATAGCAGCTATGTGGCCTTGCCCGAGCCACTTACTTCTGGCTTCAGTTACCTCATCTGTGAAATGGGAGTAATGAAAGTACCTACTTCATATTTGTATATTCAGTGAGTTGATCGATCAACCGGCAAAGCTCCAAGGACCACGCCTAGTGTGGTGCCTGGTTACATTCAATATCCGAGTTATGATTCCGTGGAGAGACCTTTTGTCAGACATTTAGTGCCCACCTGTGACTAGAGTTTTAGGAATTCAGAGATAAATAAAAAATTTATCTCTGAGCACATACCAAATGCTAACTGTATAACTGTAGAAGCTGGATTTATTGAGTGAAGGAAAGCATAGTTTCATGGAGGAGGAGGTAGGTAGGCAGACTCAAAAATTCTAATCCGGCCCTCCCTTGTGGCTCAGTGGATTAAAGCACGGCACTAAGAGGCTTAAGCCACTTCCGTATGAGTTCGATTCCCACCTGCCCCGGAGGAGATCCACATGGTGCGGCAGACCTCTCCTGGCCCGCCCGCTGCTCCCTTCAGCACTGTACTTCATAGATCTGCCTTTTCTGCTCCCCACACTGTCTCTGGTGAATCCTCTCACCCTCCACGTCTCTGGCCTGTACCCCAGTTTGGTATGAATAAATCTTAAAAAAAAATTCTAATCCATTGTGATAAGTAGTCATGGGGATATGAGGAAAGTTCTGTGGTAGTGTTCAGAACACAGAGCTGGAATCTCTGCTAGTCTCTTCCAGAAGAGACACCCAGGGGTAGTTAGTGGGAATAGCATAAGGGACATCATAACCCTTGGCTTTATTAAATTGGGGACATTTACAGTAAGCCTTGTGATCCTTAATGAACCGCTTCATCTCTAACTTTGCCAAATCAGTTGTCTTTTCAGTATGTTCTGATGCAGGGGATAATGAATCCCTAAGTGCCACTCCCTTGGTTTGATACCACTGCAATTTTCTGAAAATTATTTAAATTCTGAGGAGACTCTGCCTTCTTTAGATCTTGTGTTCTGAGATGCATTTGATCCATGAATACTATACTCTTCAAATCTGTAGCCTGACCTATGGAGGTGGGGATTAAACAAGCAGATAGAATTGGTTACTGAGGAAATATTTTCTTGGAGGAATTCTGAGGAAAGTGTAGATTGGGGAAATAGGGGTTTGGTCACAATGTGCCTGCTCTCTGCCACCACCATTCCCCCACTCCATTCATTTAATTCTCCTTACTTTTCCCTCTATCCCTCTTTTCTGTACAGGGGGAGCAGTGCCACCTACTGTGGAGGATAACCTGTGTAGGATCTGTATGGACTCACCCATTGACTGTGTTCTGCTGGAGTGTGGCCACATGGTAACCTGTACCAAGTGTGGAAAGCGCATGAGTGAGTGTCCCATCTGTCGGCAATACGTGATTCGAGCTGTGCACGTCTTCCGATCCTGAGGGCTCATTCCAGCTTCATCAGTGCCTTACAGAGACAGAGCTCAAGGTGTTCAGGCTCACCTTGGCAAGCTTGCAACAGGGCAAGTTTGAAAGAAAATGCGGTATTCCCAAGACCATGGCAAGCAAAACTGCCATGTCTTCTCTGGGTATGCCTTTTTTTGCCACCAGAGGTGCATTTCCTGGCTGCCAGTCAAGGCCAGTGGGAACTGGTACAGATCACATTGGGAAGACCCTGTTTCAGTGGTCTTGGGGTGATAATGGTAATTAATGAAGAGGACTTTCCAGAACTTGAAGAAATCTTCCTTCCTCCTGTAACCTAGTCCCCTGAGCTGCTTGCTGCTTATGTCCCACCAATCAGAAGTCTTGGTAGAAATGGTTCTTTCTCTTAAGCACACCTGGATTTCTGGTCTCTGTGTTTTAATCTTTACTTTGCTAATTGTAGAGTGCTAGACTGCCTAGAAATTCCATTTTTTGTTCCAGACCAAAAAGATGTTTACCAGACCAATAGTGGCCCTTTTTAGGACAGAATTTGGACCAGTAATCTTAATTCTGGAGAGAAACACAAATGGTATTGGAAAATTTCAAAATCATTGAGTTGCTTCCTTAAATGCTGGGATTAGAAGCTGTCAGTCCCCTTACCTGCTCCCAGGAGCCAACAAAGCATCTAGCTCCTAAACTGCTGAGAAATTCTGGTCTCCGGGCAAGAAATGCTGCATGGATGGATCATCTCAGCTGCTGCTTCTCTGGGGACCCAAATTCACATCATCTTTAAGTTACAAGGGCGAAAGCATCAGGTGAAAGCAATGACTTTCCCGAGAATGAAGTTCTACCCTTTCTGTGAAGGTTTTAAACATGGTGTCACCGAAGGCATATTTAAGTAGTCCTGCATTTCTCTAGCCAAACTTCTCATGAAGTGCCTATGGACCGGACCAGACATGTAAGTAAAGCACCTAAGAGATCTCACAAGGTGCTGAATAAGGCTGGATTCAACCCTTGAGCACATAGCTAGAAGTTTGGAACCCACAGGATGGTGAGGACTCATTTCTCTCATTTCACTTCTCAGGTGACCTGGGGAGGTCAGGAAGCATTCTTTATTTAGGTTCTTTTAAGAAGGATCATGTGATGTTATGAATAAGTGTTGGTCTTGACACCACTGGAGGAGCCAAGGGCTTAAGAAAGTTGGTTGAAACAGCTTAGCAAAGCACAACTCTAGATGCTGTCAGAATTGCTGTGTGCTGCCATTACCAATGGATGAACTATGCAAAACCTGAACACTGAAGACCTTGGCAGACCCTCTACCCCTGTGTAGCAAGATCTCTCAAATGAAACTAATCATGACTTTGGAAGGCAGTGGGGGACCTATTTATTGGTAGACTTATTCATGCTTTTCCTTAATCAACCACTAATCCCCTATGGGGGTGGGGGGATAAAATAATTTCTTACAGTTGTCTGCCGAACACTGGGCCACTTACCTCGACATTATACAAAGCCCTGGATGATCAGATTCCAGGCCATAATAGCCTTTGTACGAATTAGGAGAATCAAAAGATTTTCCTGTGATATCATAACTCATCTTTCTGCTGGACAGCAAATATTACAGTTTACAATGCTACCAGTTTAGAAAAGGATTCAGCTTGCCTCAGCTCCACTGTGAAACAGGCATACATATAAATGTGTGTATATAGGTGTGTGTGTGTGTATATATGCATATATATGTATGTAGGCAACTCAGTTATCTCAAAGTAACTTCAGAGCTGGCTATCCACTTAAAATTCACTTTCTCTGCTGGGGCCTTACCTTTTACTACTTCCCAACTTCCTAAATGAGCTAAAAAATATTCTCAGTAAGACTTGTAACTGATGTCATTTACTAGTTTGAGAAAACCTTATGTTTGGGTCTTCTAACCTCTTGGTGAAAGTTTCCATTTGGGTGAAAAATGTCACACAACAAATTTTTTGTATCTTTATTTGTAACAAAAGTTGGAAATTTCAAGACCCCATTCCAATTAGTATCTAATCCAAATAGAAAATCTTATTTTTATTCTTGACTTTTTCCCCCTGTATCTCATGGACCCTTGATCTTAATTATCATGCAAACATCTAATTCTTCATTATTCTGTGACTTTTGCTGTGATTATGCAGATTTCAGTTGCAACTTTTAAAGACTTGGAGAGCTGACTGATTTATAATACATTGGAATAATTGGATCTAAACTAGTGAGAATAAGCTGTATAGGAATTAGTGCTCTATATATTGTATAAATTAATTGAAATCTTTTGGATGTGAATGTGTTACTTCAAGTGGCTTATATTCTCTGAAATTTGTTTGGGTGTTAAAACAAACCCAAATGTGTATTTTTTTGTTACAGAGCCCTGCTTTATAATTTTGTAATAAAGTTTCAATATAGATACCTGTCCTATCTGGTGTAAGAATGACAGTCTGACATAAGAATTTGCATAATCTTGAGGTTGCATTATTTCTGGAGATGGGGATGGACCATATGGCCTTGATCAAGCTATCCCTGTTCACCAAGTGAGGAAACTGAAGCTTAAGTGTTTCTACTTGCTCAAGGATCTCTGAATTACGGCAGTGAGGCCATGCACATAGAAGAGGATGGCGGTTGTGCAGGGAGGGACCAAGTAGAAAGAAACACCTGTTCCACTGATGTGCACTTTGAAGATATGGGTAGGAAAACACCTGAAGATGGCAGCATGCCCATTTATTAATGTAAGGTCCTCAGGTGAGCGTGGGAGATGCATGGTGGCTTTAGGAGGCTGCTGTGTGCAGCTGGAGTGTGGCTCAGAGGTTGGCCCAGCCTTGTAGAGGTTGCTGTGGGCCTGTGCATATTCCATAGTGGGTGACAAGGGAGGGGGAGGGGGAGGGTAGACCTGGGAATGTGGGCTTTGGGAGAGCTAGATTATGGGCAGATCTGCCCTGAGACTAACAGAAGGAATCTGGCGCAAAGGGTATAAAGGCTGGAGGTTGAGCCACAGCACTGTCTTCATAGTTGTCAGTGGCCAACCCATTGAGCACCCAGAGATGAGCTACTGTCCTGTGTGCTACCACTCAGAACACACAGCTCAAAGGAGGATATTGTACAGTATAATCTCAGCAGCAAAAAAAAAAAAAAAAAAAAAAACAGGCATCAGAAAGGTTAAAAGAAGATAAGACAAAATGTGTGAACCCTGAATTGCAAATAACACCCAGCAAGGAAGGGTAGGGCCAAAAGACAAGCTCATTCCTGAGATCATCCCCTGCAGCTGGCAGGGCCCTCTGGAGGAGAGTGCAGGCTGAGCATAAGTGATCAGAGTGGGCAGGAGGGGCTAGGCCATCCAGGCCATAGGGCAATGCTGGTGTCCTCTGACAGAACCCTGAGGGCAGAGCCTTGTCCTGCTGCCCTGTCCCGTTTGCTTGGCCTAAGGAGGCTGATGGGGTGGGGCTTAGAAATCTACATGGGTCAATGCTTTGAGGAGCAGCTTTTTGTCTCCAGAGAGAATAAAGAATATCTTGCTGTCAATACTGAAGCAGACTGGTGCTTATCAAAAATCAAATGTCTTGGGCTAATCAGGGCCACCCCTCGCACTTGATCATCAAGTGGAGCAGAGTACTGAGTGCAGCAGAGGGCTGGGGGGCGGTGGTGAGGCCCAACCCTGGAGGCTCAGACACTCAAGTGTATTCCTGAACTTGAATCATGTTAGCCCTACTCATAGACAAAACAAGCCCACCAATTTGTTAATAAGAAAAAAATTGACCTTCAGGAGTGCAGAAAACAGAAACCTTCAAGCCAATCTGTGACCAGCAACAGGCAGATGTGGGCCTGGAGAAGGGTGTTGACACTTCTGAAGTGTCCCTCCTGGTAGTGTCTGGCCATGTATGCCAGTGTGGATTTCCCCAGCTCTCCATCTTTGCTGGGCTGTGTGCTAAGAGCTTTTACATAACACACCTGAGTTCAACTAATCTTTACCACAACACATGATTTAGGTACACTCTGTATCCCCATTCCTTTTGGGGGAGCAGAGGCTCAGATGTTAGTAACTTGCGTAAGGTTACAGCTATTTAAGTTCCTGGGCTCGGATTAGAACCAGTCTGTCTACCTGCACTGTCCAATGTGGTAGTCTCTAACACATGTAACCAAAGTTAAAATGAAAGCTTCACTCCCTCCCTGTTGGCCAAACCTCGCATTTTAGTGCTTCACAGCCCAAAGTGCCACGTTCGCGTTGGCCCGCAGACAAGAGGACAGCGCCACTGCTGCAGAAAGATCGATGAACAGCACCAGTCTACACTGAACTGTTTCCCTTTTATTCATGTAAATCAGCTGTGGTGGCTCAGTACTGCTGTGTGCTCTGGTCCTCAAGTGGGACCTTGTCTTGCTTTAGACTTGGAGGCAGGGCCTCGCAAGCCCTGTACTCCCCGGGGGGGAGCCCAAACCCCTCTTCCTCATAAGGATTCCATTTTCCTACCTGACCCTGGTTCATTCCCATCAAATCAGAACTCAGACTCTAGAACAGGAGAAAACACAGAGACTTATGGCATAAAATGCACCTTGTTTTCTTTCAAATGAGGCTTTGTTCCTGGCACTAAATAAAATAAAAAAATAAACAGGTCAGGCTGTATACATGTTTTGCCAAACCTGCAAAGTATTTCTAGGGAGAGTTTTTGAAATACTTTAAAATGGGCACGAAGCAAAAGGGTCAGGCAGGGAGTTTTACATCAGGCTTGGCTATTTGGGGTGAGAGCTTCAATAGCCCAGTCTTTGCTCCTGAATCACTTGGGATATTATAGGGGGCACAGAACAAAAATACAACTGCAGGATATATTATTTTAAAAAATAAGCTTCTTTAAAAGAAAACAAAAAGACAAAAACCAGCACCCAGATCTGCAAGATCTATGTAAACCAGGCAAGAGAAAAGGACTTAACACTGGTGGCACCCACAGCAACTAACTCCTAGTTTTAGGGCAGCCCACGGACAGAGGGTGGGTTTTAGACGACATACTACTTGCAGAAGAAAACCCATCTCCACTCTGTTCTAGCCCTCACCTGCCTGTCCCAAGCTCCAGCCCAGCCCAGTGACTAGCAACGGGGTAGGGAAAGAATGACCCAAAGGTGGGGGAGGCAGCACCCTTAGCAGGGGGCGACCAATCTCCGTTTCCGGATACATGCCCAAATCCACTCTGGGGAGACCTGCTGGGCCTCAGGATTCTTGTCCCTGCTACCCAGCACATGTGTGGCTGAGGCCATGTCAAATTCCTGCACCAGGTCCCCATCGAATGCCACAAAATAGCGTCTGAGACGACTGAAGTCTGGTGTGGAGGGTGGCAGGTAGAGCCGCACCCCAGTGAAGATGTCCAGCAGCACCTGCAAAGGCACAGCAGTCAGATGGGTCTCTACCCAGTTGAGCATAGGTCAGAGGTAGTAAAGTGATTAAAACAAGAGCCAGAGGTGGACGGAGCCCCGTGGTGTGGACAGAAGCAGAGAAAGACCTCAAAATCCCCATCTTCCAGTCTGAATTACACTGACTGACTGACTTCTCCATCTCCGACAGGAGGAGCAGGCCCCAACCCTGGGGACCTAAAGGAGGGAAAAGTAAGAGTCTCCAAGAACCATGCAGTGGCCAGCAGGCAAGGCCACCAGCTCTCAGACTCAGTGAAGAAGCTGCACCATGGAGCAGTTTGCCCTGGGTGCCAGGAGCCTGCTCATTACTACAGATGGGCTCAAGGGTTTGGGTAGGGTAGAGAGGGCCAAGTCACAGGTTAGCTGGGCTCTCAATTCTGGGCCAGAGCTGCCAAGACTTCTGAGCTTAATCTTCTTGCCTACAGGAAGGAACAATTTGTGTAGTGATTGAACTTTTACTTTCCATCTGCCCTTTGGGACCTCAGCCCTTCAGGCAGGGTTTGTCAGTGCTAAACTACTTCCTGGCCTCAGGAGATGCTCCCTAGCTACTATGGTCAACCAGTAACTGACAGGAAGTAGAAGAAGGGGGGGGCAGCGAGGGGGGTGGGAAGAAAGGGTTGTCAGACTGGTGTAGAGAGTCACCCAGCCGGTGTCCTCGCCCCCTCCTTGCTGGCTGGCCTCAGTCCCACCCTGAACATGAACTCACATCGCCACAAGCCCACACCCAAACAGACTGGGGTTTCTCCCTTTTAATGTAAGTTGAGACTTAGGGCCAGAACCACGGGAACCGCATGGGTTCCATGCTCTCCTGCTAGGCTGCGCTGTCCTGTCTCCTGCCTGCTGGCACAGCTCTCCTTCCTCTCTGCTCTCTGGCCGGCCGCCTCTGCAAGGCAACGAGAGCAAAGGGTGGTGCAGAGGCACTGCTGATCCCGCCCACCAGAGAGGAGCAGCTGCAGCAGCAGAGATTTAACCTTAATGCCCCAAACACCTTCTTTGCTCATCTCAAAGTTCAAGTGCAGAGGGCTGAAACCTGAGACTGTAGCGCAAACTGAGCCCCAGGGACACAGCTGTTTGTCCTCACCTTCGTCTGACAAGGAGTCTCGTCAGGAGCCTTCCGCTTCTGCCCCACTTTCACAGGAGAAGACTTCACAGCCTGCCTCTCTCCCAGTTTCACAGGGGAAGGCTTTGCGGCCAGTGTGTTGCCTGCAGAAGAGGTTGGAATAAACTAAGGAGGTAGGGGGAGGCCCCTCATGTCAGCAAAGAGAAAGCTGCTTCTCCCTCTGCTGTGAACATGGGTGAAAGAAGCATTTGTATGGTAATAAGTCTATCAGTTCCAAAAGCTTATCCCTGGGTCAGAGAGATGCACTCCCAGAGTGCTGTCATTGTGGCTCACAGAGCAAGTGAGGTGCCAGCACGCGGGCTTCTGGGCCCCAGTGGACCCACACTAGGAAATCTCTATCAGCTGCAGGGGATGGAGCAGATCACAGGATCCCAAAGATGGAATGCGGAGCTGGGATCCCGACCTTTCAACCCCTGACCTTACACCACACCCTCTATACCCCACCACCACCCCAAACACTTCTTACCGCCTTTGCTGCTGGGGCTGTTCAGCTTCCCTCCCGCTTTCTTGGCACTGGGGGAGGTTCCAGAGGCCTTGCGGGACACACTGGGCCCTGAGGTGCCCTCGTTCTCTCCACTGCTGCTCCCTGCGGTGGAACTCCCCTCCTCTCCAGCCACCACAGTGAAGTCTGCCCTCTCCTTGGACAGCTGGTACAGTTCCTGAGGAAGGAACCATGATCTCAGAGACGTGTGTTGTCTTAGGTGCATGCGTCAGAAAAAGGCAAATAGCGAGAGAAAGAAATGGGTTTCTCTGGTGCTTTTCTAAACTTTGTCCTTGTTTCTTGAATAATCAGGATACAAATCACTGTTCCCTGTTTCTTATCAGCAAAGCAGAAACTAGCCTGGGGTCAAACCCTCACCAGGAGGCTTTGAGAGCAGGAACTCTCTCTGTGACGCAGAGCTGCTCAGGGCTCTCCAGACGTGAGGAGGCCTAAGCTACTGCTCCGGGCCCTGAAACTGCCTTTGCCGCTCACCTCGGGGTAATGGAGAATGGAAATATGAACACTTCAGACACCCAAAGTCCTTAAGGCTGGGACAGGGGGCTAGAAGACACACATGCAGTTAAGAGCTGGCACCTTGAGTTGGGGCAGGTTGGTGGCAGACTTCCAGTCTTTATCATCACGGATCCGGGTGCAGCGAGGGAATCGGATGGAAATCCCATCAGCAGTGTGAGCCTCAGATTTTGAGAATTCAGCGCCTGTGATCTCCCACACGGCAGCTTTCTGTCAGGGGTTTACATCAAGTAGGTCACTCACTGATTAAGAACACATCTCCAGGGCCCTCCCTGGTGGCGCAGCGGGTTAAAGCACTGCACTGAGAAGCTAAAGCCACTTCTGCATGAGTTCGATCCCCGCCTGTCCTGGAGATTCACATGGCGTGGCAGACCTCTCCTGACCCGCCCGCTGCTCCCCTCAGCAGTGTACTTCGTTCATCTGCCTGTTCTGCTCCCTACTCTGTTCCTGGTGAATCCTCTCACCCTCCGCATCTCTGGCCTGTACTCCAGTTCTGTATGAATAAATAAATAAATCTTTAAAAAAAAAAAAAGAAGAAGAAAACATCTCCCAACGAAGACAGTACAGGACAGTTAAAATGAAAAAAAGCACTGCCGAACAGAGGCAAGTTCAAGCCCTACTTTTGTGGTTGGTGCTATGTGACCTTAGGGGAGTCGTGTCGTTTCTCTTCATTGCAAGAAGGACTGGGCCAAGTTGCTTCTAGAATAGATCCTTTGTGTCTAGGGGATGGTGGCACTCATCTCTCTATTGAGGATGATTCCTTAGTGTTGAATGCAATAGCTGTTGTTTAGTTGAACAGCCCAGTCTCCCTCCCTAGGTGGGCTGTCAATGAGATTGAGATGGGGACTCTATGGTTCTAGAAAACTTGGAAGCTCAAACTGCAGCGTTAGGGCCCAGGCCAGGGGTTTTAATACCTTTGGGTCTGGGACGATGAAATCAGGATAGTAGATCTTGTTCACTTTCAGCCAGCTGGGTATCTTGCTGGGATCCTGAAGGAGAAAAGATGCTGTCCTAGGCTGTTCCCAAGCCAGAACAAGACACAAACCTCCTCGTGGTCTCAGTTTGTGAGAAGAAGGAATTCTTATCCTCGGGGATCTGCCCAATGCAGAGGGTAACCTAGAGGGAACGTAGTGCTTTTTTCTAAGATAAGCCCTTGAAAGACTTTGAAGGCCTCCCAGGTTCCCAGGGCCAAGTGGCATCTTTCCTTTGGGGAGCCAAAACACTACGTGCAGCCTGTCTCAGTGAGGATGGTTGGTCCAGAGGCCGGGCCTCACCTTGCTGATCTTCACCATGTCCAGTTCCTTCTGCAGGCGGGCTAGCGTCGCGTCATCATGGCCTCCAGCACACTTGGTGACTGTGCACCACTTCTGGCTGCTTGGATCGTAGCAACCCATGAGGAAGATGGACATCATGCCGCCTGGGAGGGGGGATGGGCTAAGTTGTGGGTGGAGGGAGCCATCTCTGCCAGTCCCATGTGCCCCATGAGCGCGCCTGGGGAGAGGAAAGGGCCTGGGCCTTGGCGTCAGAGTGCCAGAGTTCATCTCCTGATCTGCCTCTTACTAATTTTTACCTTTACCAGCCCCAATTTCCGACTTAGTAAACTAAGTATAATCACACTCAAACCTGCTGGGTTCTGGTAAAGAGTAAAAGGAATAGTGCCTGGCACATAAAAGCACTAGTTCCTCAATCGCCAGCCTTCCCCCTAGTCGACAGATTTTTTTCCTTGAGGAGACAGCTACTGACTGTCTGGATATGCATGCCAGGACATTCCCTGCCTAGGCATTAAGTCTAATGTCCCTGCTTTGAGGTGACACAGGCCAGAGGAGAGCCTCCAAACTTCAGAAAAGTTGATTGGCAGATCAAGCTGTCAAAAAGGCCTTAAGCAGTCAGTGCCTTCCAAAGAAGTACCATCCCAGAGTCCAAATGACATCCTGACCTTTGCTTCCTTGTCCATAGAAGGCCCCAAGGACCACTAGGTCAGCTGTGTCAGCCATGGCCCCTTCATTCAAATAATCTTTCTTCACTTTCAGCCAGTGCCGCTTCCCAGGCTCATAAGTACCCTGAAGAGAAGTAAGAGATGAACTAGAATGTATGCTCCAAGAGAGTGGAATTTACCAGATCTATCAGGTGCTCAGATTTTGGAAAGAGCCAGAGGCTCCAGGTACAAGAGACACACAAAACTCATCCTTCAGATCTAGAGAGAACAAACTTGTCCACACCCTGAAAAGGCTCTCCTCAGCAGCCATCCCAAGAACCTCAGACCACCACTGCCACCTCCTGGTCAAGCCTGGAAAGGCTCAGGGAGAGAAGGCCCCGAGTCTGCAAAGGTGGTGGCCATCTTACCTTCACATCCTTCAGCACCAGCCCTTCCAAGCCTTCACGGATCACCCGGTTTATCATGTCAGCCAAATCCGAAGCTTTCTGAAGGAAAACAGGAGAGACAGAAATTTCTGTGAGAATAGGGATACCCTGGGGTGAGTAGAGGTGGTTCCTTTGTGCACACTAGTCAAGGGCCCACAGAAGCACTCCTTTGAACAAAGAGCTTATAAAGTGGGGATGCTCTCAACCAGGGGGCTGCTTTGGCTTTGGGAAACAGCTTACCTAGGAAGGCTGTATCACTCCCTGCCCTCTACTAGATGGAGACTAGTAGACCACATATGCACAGCAGCCCCATGGGAAAATAAGATACTTTCTCCCAGTCACATCTAATCTGAGGGGTTCTCTGCTCTGCTGGAAAACCACAAGGATGCTGGGATCTTTCTTCACCGTGACTTGCTTCATTTCCGAGAACATTATCCGGTTAGGAATTTCAACCATATTGTCATGAAGAAACTTCCGTCGTTCACACAGGGACCTAAGGGAGACAGGAGGATGAGGTCAAGCTAGGAGTTCTGAGGAAGCAAGCCTAACAACAAACTGTTACTCTATAGAGGTGTGTCATGGCTTAAAGGCCTGGTGTCTAACATTCTTGCCTGTCAAAGGCTGTAAGACTCTCCTGGCAGAAGGAAAATTGTGACCATGATGTAGAGTCACTTCATTGTTGTAGTTCCTGTTCCTACTTTACCAAGTCACAGGGAAATTGGTCTCTAGTTCAGATTGTATAAAGTTTGGTCATACCTGAGAAATCACCCTGATGCTCCTTTTTTACCCCCAGCATCTTGTGCTCACCTCAGGCCCAAGGCTGGCTGGTTCTTGGGTCAGCAGGCTGAAGCCTAAACCCCAACTCCTACCACCAACAATTTTCTCCCTAAATTCCTATTCCTTCCCCAGGGAAATGGGCCAGTGTGGAGTGGTAGAGGTAGATAAATGTCAGTGTGCAAGGGGCTTATACAGCGTCTTGAGTCCAAAAATTTACATGCAACCTAAGTACTTCTAGTTCTCCTTATGATGGCCCTACCCACAGCCCTCACTACAGTTACAAATTTCTACTGTCAGCCTCTTTTCAAAGGAAAACCTTTGACTAAAAAACTATCTGCCGTATGCAGATAGTGGAGAAATAAACTGAACCCTTCTGCATTCTATGTATCTGCAACACTCTATTTTGCTGTTAGAAAGATGACTTAAGCTCGGGCCGCCCTGGTGGCACAGAGTTTTTGTTAAAGTCTCAGTGTTACCAAGCTGTCACCAGCCACTGCATCCTGAGTTCAACCCCAGCCAGGGAGCTGACACACATGGCGCAGCAGACCTGCTCCCGTCAGCAGTGTATTTCAGTAGCTATGCCTGTTCTCCTCCCCATGCTCTCTGGGGAGTGCTGTCACTCCCCCACCCCCTGTACACTGGCCTACACCCCAGTTCTTGTATGCATAAAAAAATAAAAATAAATCTTTAAAAAACAAAAGATGACTCGAGCTCTCAGCAATGAAATGTAGATCTTCCCAACACTGGAAGTGACTGCAACAACTGTGCTACCTCCAGCTACCTCCTGTCACTCCCCTGTCCCTGCCCAGTTCCTAGACACAAAGGCATATCTGCCAGCCTTTTCTTCTCCCTTTCCCATCTGAATCCCCTATCTCTTCACCCAGAAACTAAAAATTGATTCCTCACCTATCCATCAAGCTGACATCATTGAAGTAAATACAGTCAAAAACAAACAGGCAGACATTAGCATCCTGGAAGGCAGCTTTCTGTAAGGAAAATGAGGCAATAGATAAATGAGGGACCGAGGTAACAGGAAGTACCAGTTCATTTCTGGAAACCCTCCGAAATATCTGATGTAAAAGGGCTATTTATGCGTTAACGCCCCTGAGCCATGTAAAAAGGAGCTGAGCTCAGGACTAAATTCACAAACAGTTCAGAAACAAAGATTAAACCCTATCCCACAGCCATATATTCTTCCCCATTTAGACCAACAGCACCTGCCAAGTGTTCATTCTTGCACATCTGGCCCTGAGCCAGTACCTTGTGTACTCCCAGAGTTCCAAAGGGCAATGGTTTGCCTGTCTTGTTGTCAATCAGGAGCACCTCCGAGTCCAGAATCATGCTATGGCCCCCAGGGAAAGCCAGGGGGATATAGTCCTTAAAGTGCGCCACCTGAAGGTAGAAGAGTCACTTGGGTGAGGCGGAATGGAAGCTCAAGCTGAATCAGAGAGAGCAAAATATGGGCGCCAGAAGAAAAACAGATGAGGCTGATGAGCAGAACATGGACACAAGCCTTCCCTGCCACCCAGTCAGGAGAAACAGAGTATCACTTTCAGCACCTGTGTCTAGACCCCTAGAGTGACCTGTGTTGAATCACTCTATGGACTACAGAGAAAGAGTATGAGGAAAAAAGGGAAGAAACCAAATGGAGAGGAAAGGGTCAGAAAAAAAGGAGGCAGGAAAGGCAGCAGATTTTTGCCTTTGGCAGAAGATGGGTGAGTATCGGGCTGTGAAGATTGAAGGAACACAGGAGGAACAAACAACTCCCTTTAGAAGCCCTGTAGAAGCAGCAAGGAAATGTGAGAAGGGCCTTTTCTAGAGCAGCTAACCCCAGAACTAAGTTCAGAATAAATAAGAAAGGATGCTTGGAATTGGATTTTTCTTGATCAAGGCAGAGTATAGTCTCACACACAGAAAAATCCCAGTGTACCCCAAGGCTGCCGCTGCCAAATGATGCCACCAGTGAGGTTAGAGCGCATGGCTGTGGCCCAGTTCCTCCCCTGAGACAGGCACGCAGACCATGATCACCTGAGAAGTTCGGAGGAGTAACAGGAAAACCCTGCACAGCTACCACCTTTCCCTTCATTCCCCAAGCACTGAGAGGTAAGCAATGAAGGAAGCTTTGGTAAGAGAAAGGGCTCTCATTCTGGAAAGTTGTGCTCAAACCTCTTCCCGGGAGGTATACACTAAATGCCAGCCTCAACATAAGACACTTCCTTAGCAGCTTACTGTGCCCCCAGAGCGTGACCATGCACTAATGGGGAACCTACTGCTGAGCTCTCCTCTGCAGTTCCTGAAACAGATGGCCAAACTGCTCCAGGGTCCCAGCAAGGCTGAGGCAAGGACAGGAGTCTCACATATCTCCTTCACATTGGGGCTCTGAAAAATGGAATCCGAGCTAGGACAGGAGGGGTCGCAAAGGTAGGAATCTACTCAAAGCCACGGGAGCCAGGCATTGGCTGCTTTCCCCTAAAGAGAACACCAATGGCACTCAGAAACTCTGGAGCTGAGAGGGGATGAGGATGGAGCTTCTCAATGCCCCCTATTTTAAAATAAGGAATGGATTCCTATTTTCAGTTCCTGGGTGAGGAGATAAGGAGATTCAGAGTCCAGACTTGGGGCTTATCAAAACAGAGTTCCATGAAGAGGTAATGCTACTGGGCAGCAATCATAACTGGAAGCTCCCATAAATAAATTTATTCAGGGCCCTTCTTGGTAATGCAATGGGTGCTTCACAGTACTGTGAAGCTATAACAGCCACTGCAGCACAAGTTCGATCCCTGGTCAGGGAGGTGACCCACATGGTGTGGCAGACACCTCCTGGCCTACCTAGTACTCCCCTCAGCAGTATATTTCAGTACATTTGCCTGTTCTGCTCCCCATTCCATCTCTGGTGAATCCTCTCACTGCTGCACCTCAGACCTATATCCCCATTCTATATACATAAATAAATAAATCTCAAAAAAATAGATTCATTCAACAAATATAAAACAAAGGCCCTATTTCAGACCAGAGCTGGAATAGCTGTGGACTTCCAGCCCTGAGATTCTTAGAGATAGGAAGGGAAAGACAGTCCTCATGAAAAGGAAGAAACCAATACCTTGTGAGGCAGGACAGGCTTGAGACTGCGGCTGAAGTAGCTGAAGTGGTCCCCATTCTTATGCACCTGGACTCGCTCCCCATCATACTTGATTTCAGAGAACATGCCGTTGGGACATTTCTTCATTGCATACTCGATGGATTTGCAGGCCTCAGCCTTGAGGTAGGGAAAGAAGATCCTGCAGACTCAATAAATGTTCTTCTAATGAGGAGCAGCTTCACCTAAATATCCAGGTCCCGGAAGTACCTGCCCCAGCATACCTTCATGGCCGGCTTTGCAAGAGGCGATGGGAGTGGAAAAGGCTAGGCAGTGACTTGTTCTGAGTATGAAAGCACCAGAGTTGACACAGGAGCTTGTATTTTAGGAGTATGAATGCAATTCATTGTAGAGCAAATAAATTTCACTGAAATAGCATTTCATTTTTTTTCTCAATAATTTAGATCATGCAGGGCTTCTGGCATGCATAGGTTATCTTGGTATGGAGAGATGCAGAGATAGGAGTAAAGGGTGTAGATGACAGTGGGAGGCAGGGTGGCAGTGATGAGGCCTCCCTGGATAGGACATTCAAGACATAGGAGTGGTTATCTACCTTTCTGAGCCATCCTGAATCAAACAACTTGTAGGTGTGAGATCTTATACATAATTTTATTTCATCCTTATGTGATGCCATTTTCATTTTACAGATGAGAAAACATATTCAAACAGTTAAGTGCTCACTTAAGGTTATAGAGCTAGTAAATAGCAGGAATGAAATTTGAAACTAGGCCCAACTCCATAGAGTGGCTAACCACTGAGCTATGTAACCTATGCCGTTCTTCAAATGACAGGTTGTAGAACAGGGTCCAGAAAGAATTCTTAAAAATTCAGGGGAAAAAAGTCAGAAAGGTCACTGCTGCCAAGTGCTTGTGGCTCTGTCCCTGGGATAGAAATCTCGCTATTTGGGGGCTAGCTATCCCTTTCTTAGGATGGGTAGAACACTACCCTTTCCTAAACACAGAATCCTAAACAAGGCTTTAATATATCATGCAAGATTGCTCCCAAAAAACACTGGAACCCAGGTATCTCAAAGCAGGCATGGCAGCATACATGAGGATCTAGTTTCAAGGAAAGCCAGTGCCAGAAAAAAAGTTGTTTTTCTCATCAAGTGTGCAGAGGCCAAGATGCTCTCCATCAGAGCTGGTCTTCATTCCTCAACTTCCTTATTCCAGAAGAAAAGGAAACCCAAGTCACCCTGTCACACACAGGAAGCCTGTCTCTGCTTCCAACTTAGAGTTACTATGGGTCAGGTTACAGGACCTCAGGAATCCACCTCTGTTCTTGTGGACGATAAATACACAATTTACTATGCTCCAGAGGGTTTAAATGTCCATAAAGACTAAGAGAGGCAAGTAACTCATGTAACATGTTGTGTCTTGTGGTGGCAGAGTGGGGGCTGTAGTTCAGGTCATTCCACTAGATCATACTATGTTCTCTGCCTTCACTTCTCCATTGAGAAACACCCCTCTGCAGCTTCCCTCAGCCTTCCCCAAACTATAAGGGCTATCAACATTCATATACTACTTGGTCTCAAACAGAAGGACAAGAAACTGGGAGCAAGGGTAACAGGGCCAGAACAGTATCCTTACCAGCATGGGCTGCACAGGAGTCATCAGTGAGGCCTGAACACTCAGAGTTCGCCTCTGGCCTGGCTCCTTCTCCTGCTCATTACGGAGGACCCGCTCCACCACATCCTGCAAATTGCGCGAGGCTTTGAAGGCTTCATAGGCATTAGGGTCGAGGGCATCTAACCTGCCAAAGTGGACGGGATTGAAGAAACAACC